AGAGAGAGAGAGAGAGAATGTGAGATTATAAAACCAGTAATCATTTTAAAAATAATTCTCTCTTCAAGTCTCTCTCTCTCTCTCTCTCTCTCTCTCTCTCTCTCTCATAAAAAGCAAACATTAATTTTAATGAATAGTGATTTAAAAGAGATTAGAGTCACGTTTGCTGTATTATAAACCAAGTGAACACATACTTTAAGCATTCAAACGCTATTATATAATAAAAGAAATATTTTTTTTTGCAAATAAAAAATTGTTATACAATTGTGTTATAATTGGTTTTCCGTCTATTTTTCTCACACATGATTTTTTGGGCAATATTTTTGCTTTTTATTTATTTTTTGCGACAATTATCGTATTCTCTCTCTCTCTCTCTCTCTCTCCCTCTCTCTCTCCCTCCCTCTCAAGCACTTAAATTAGTGATCATAGGAAGAGATTGATGGTAGAATTATAACATAATCATTTTGCCCAACAAATTGCTATTTGATCCGACGCTTGCAATTAAAAGCTCATTGTATTTAAAAATTTATAATTCATTACATAATAACTCTGTTGAACAACAATAGGATAGCGATTGTCTGTTTGATATATACTATACTGTATAGTGTTTTGTTGTTTACCGCAAACCAATTACCCTTTTTTTGAAGGGCCAGCCAAACAAAAAACAACAAAATATTGAAACTATACAATACTAACCACACATTTCCTTAAAATAGTGGAGCAATTTGTTGTTAAACTTGGCACTGAAAAAATAAATTCAACTTGATATTGAATTTTGTTACCACGTTGATAAAAAACAATACCCACACACTCAACAAATACTGTACAATCCATTTGTTATGTGTATTTCAAGTGATTTCCTCCTCAGGACGAAGAGGAAGCGCAAGAACTATAAGTCTATAAGAAGTTTGTTTGTGTGATGAATGAAGTTGTGGTGGTTTTTGTATTGTCAAGTGATCCCAACAATTGAGTGATTATTTAGTTTGTGTTTTTTTCTCTACTCATTGCTTAACATTATTTGCTGTTTTTAAACTCTTTATGGCATTTGTTTTGTTTATTTCTTGAGATTGTTTTGTCTGTTCCGTGGTTTTGGCTGATGACAATCGAGGGCTTTATTTTAGACATTCAATTGATTTAGACATTTGCGAGAGAGAGAGAGAGAGAGAGAGAGAGAGAGAGAGAGAGAGAGCAAGTTTAAGACAGCATAAAACAAGTGAATATCAAGTTTTTTGTGTAATTATATTGAATAGGATTGCCTACCGTTTCATACAATTACATAATGTCTACCGGGGTTTACGTGTGTAGGTGTGAACATATGGTCGCGCTATAAATAGTTGTCATATTTAATTAGTTATGGCTTTGAATTTTGTTGTTTTATTCACTCTATGTCTGTTTCAATGGGGTTTTATTCATTATAAAGAGTGCACACAATTAAATGCATAAGAAATTACACAAATAGTTATTTTAACTTTATGATATTTTTAGATGCCATTCATTCATTAAGGTGGGTTTTGTTTATTTAAGATAAATTTTAATTATTTTTAAAAATGTATTAATAAATCTCATCTCTCGGTTCGTTAGCGTTTGTCATATGAAACCGTTATGTAATTAAAAAATAAATAAATAATTATTTGTTACAATAGACAAATGTACGTTAATTAATAATAATGTAAATACAATACATTATGCAAAATATGACAATTGATTTGTTTTCATAGATAACTAGTTTTTGCAATTCAGTAGTTATTCACTGATTCACTGAATATTAATAAATATATTCATGAAACTCTTTTCCGTAATAATTATATCTTAAAACCATTTATCAAAACAAAAAAATAGACAAATCATTTAAAATGCAAAAACCTTTTTACAACTTTAATAACGGCTAAAATATAGCATAAAATTCATTCAATCATCAAATGAAACTGAATGTATGAACACAAGTGAGCGGCCAAACATCCGGGGCCTACACATGTGTCTAATGGCATACATGATCGGGATACTTCTCGGTGGACACGGCCTGTCCTCCATCACCACCACCAGCGCCAGCACTCCTGTCCTGATAGAAGACATAATAGCTGAGGAAGACATCGGAGTAGCGGAACAGCTCGAAGATGAACAAAAAGATGGCCGCTTTGACCACAAAGAACAGGCGCCACGAGAAGCGGCGGCGGCCGTCGTAACCCAACTCCTTGAACACCCGGCGCAGGCTGTATAACATGGCGCCCACCACTGACCAGTTCACCGCGAAACGCATGTACTGATTACCGCCGGCCACTATTATGGCGTCGGTGTAGCGGATCAGCTCCAAGACGGTCATCAGTAGGAAGTAATAGGCCGTCAGATACATCTTCTGCGCGATCTGGAGCTCGGTTTTGCGGATTCTGGTGAATATGTAGCACAGGGTCAGCACATATATGATTGTGTTGACCGTAAACCGGAACCGACCCTCCGAGGGCTCGGTCTGGTCGCTGCTGTCGGCCATGTATTGTCTCTTACCCTTCCTCTTGAGTTTTGTTTACCACTTCTCAAGAGCTTTTGGTTTGTGTTTTGTGTTTGTTTTGTTGCAACAGTTTTTTTGGTATGGTTTTTATTTTTTGATCAACAATTAGTTGCGATTTTAATTGAAAGTTAAAATTTGAATATTTTATTTATGTTTAAAATTAATTGTTTATAATGCAAACAGTTTTAATTATTTAACTCGTTTTCTGTCTGCTGTGATAATTATAACTAATTATGTTTAATATTGTATTTTATTTTGTTTAGTCACTTAATGTGCGAAATTCACAAATAAATATCACTTACAATTAAACGTATAATTAAATAACAATTAATTCATCAGTTAATGACTGCCACCACAGAGGACTGGCCATCAGTGCCATCAACACCTGGCTGTCCATCATTGCCGGCGCCGGTGTTGGGCAGCACTCCATACCCGTTCCCATCGCTATGACTATATCGGTTGTGAATCCACGTCTGTTTATAACCAGTTTTAATGTTGTTATCGCTTATGAAGTCATCAAAATTTGCATTCATATCATCTGATAATTTCCGGAATAATTATTAAGTTATTATAAATAATAATCATATATTTATATTTATATATTTTTCCCATACCTTTGCTCGAGTGCCTAACACGACCGGCCCCTCCGGCGCCCCCTTTCCCACCATTAGCGCCATTACCCGTATTAATGACAATCTGGCGGCGATTGCCCACGAGATTAGCGCCGGAGGTCTCACCCCTGGCGTCGGTATCGCTGTATACATGGCTTACGGATAAACTAAACACACAATTCACGCATAGATATAATACAGTGATAATAGTTATTAAATTCATATCATATATGCCAGTGTGTGTTGTGGTGTGTTTGTAATCAAATAATCCTGGTGTCAATGTAAGGGCTATAATAAATTTAATGAGCTGTATTTATTGCACCACATTTATTAAATTTATATTTTTGTTTTTTCACCACAATGAAAATAATATATGTTATTAATTATTAATAACTGGTTGTTTGCTTTATGCGAATGTGTGTGAAAGGGAAATAAAACTAAAATACTAAATGTAAAACTGTTTTTCCCAAAATATATTAGCTATGTAGTAATTAAAGGTAAATATGTACCGTGATAAGTTCTCATGTGTTTTTTTGCAGTATAGAGTTTATGTTACTATTTTTATAATTATATAAAATTTAATAATAGTTATTTTAAAAATATACTTTTATGAACATATAAATAGAGATCCCATAAATGTTAATTGTTAATTAAAATAAATGATTAACTCATGGTAATTATCTGATTTTTAAATAAATAATCACATTTTAAGTACAATTAATGTAAATAATATTATTTAACACTAATTTAGGAAAATTGTTGGACAATTTAAGTGTATTAAAAATTTTAATATACAACTTATGGCACATTTTCTTATCAAAACAAATAATACAAATACTGTTAACAATCGTAATGTAAAATACCTCTTTAGTCACAAAATAAACACTTGGTTTTGCAACAATTTATAGCACCGGTAGTTGTGTTGAAGTAATTAAAATTAATCTTTGATTATAATTTATAATAAATGTTATTATTATAGATAACGTATAAACAGCACAAAAGATATATAATATACAGTAAATGACAGTTAATTAATAGTAAATATTGTAATCTAACACTAACTCTGTGTATAAAAAATTGGTCATAATTTGCAATTATTTAATACTTAATCCCGTAATAAATAACTAAATTTCGTTTTTATATTATGTTATTCATATGAAAACTTTACTTTCATTTAATATGTAATTGCATTTGCCATTAAATCATAAAATACTGACTTATACTGTGTTTGCAATAGTTTTTTACCATAAGATTTCAAACAATATAAGTGTTAAAATATGTGAACAGAATTACTTAATTAACGTTAATTAATAGTGTGTAAAATTATTGACTAAATCTGAAATAAGATTTAAATAGAGTTTAAAATACGGAAAAAATACTATAAAAATTCACTACAAATGGATATCAAATCAGCAATAATTGCATTAATCGCTAGTATTTTCTCATACAATGACTGCAACGCTCAATATATCTCAAATTGTAAGCAAAAAACTTTGTAAAAACTGTTTTGAAAAAAAACTTTTAAAACTACATTCAAACCCCTATAACCCAAACTCATCTCAACATCAGCCACACGACAGGCGCATCAATTCATTTACCCGACACTAAGCCCACGGCTGGGCGCCGACGGCCGGGTCAATGATCGGCCACTTTTCTACCCGTACGACGCGGGCGACTATCGGACCGAAATCAACTCGATGAAACAGTTTCACGACCAGCCCCTGCCCTTCCGCCTGCCATTCTTCGGCTTCGCCTTCACTTATATCTGGGTATTTATGCAAAAAAAACTATTACTAAATGATCGTGTTTAATTGATCCACACCATGATCCCTACCCCTAACCCTCCCGGTGCCCAAACAGATCCATAAGGACGGCTACGTGTGCTTCAATAAGGGACTGAAGAGCTACACATTCCCGGTGTCGTTCCCGACGGTTCCCGACGACACCAACATCGAAGAGGACCCGTCGATGATTGCCATTTGGTTCGCACATCAGGACATACCTCAAGAGGTGGACGGTTCGGGTGTGTACTATAGGCTCATAGAGATGGGCACCGAACAGGACCAGCAACTCGTCGATATGATTGAGTGGGACTTTGACACAGCGATGTCCGGGTCGGCCGGCTTTTCGCCCACCTTTGTCATCGTCATCACCTGGAAGAATATGACCTTCGCCAATAAACGGCCCGATCGGCCCCTTAAGGTAAGTCTTGGTGATCATGTCGTAGTGATCTAGCTCATTAATGTGAGCACAAATAATTAAATGGTGTTTTAATTACAATTAATTTGTGTGTTTAATGTGAAGACAAACACCTATCAGATGATCATCGGAACCGATGAGATCTCGACGTTTGCATTCTTCAACTACGAGTGGATTACATGGATAACACATCTCGATAATTATGACGGCCTGAACGGCCCGCCAGCTTTTGTATGCCATTCCATATCTCATAACTACCCCATACCTGCCCTTTTACCAAGATTTTCAATAATTTTAATTGCATTTTCACGGCCCTTATAAATGATCTAGATCGGTTTCAACGGTGGTAACTCTACGCGGGCCTACGAGTACCTGCCCTACTCGCAAAACCCACGCGTATCGCTGCTACCTGTGCTCGGCTACGGCAACAACCTATTGGGTCGGTTTATATTTCAAATAGACAACGTGCTGTTCACCGGTGCGTGCGTCAACAAAGACCTAGATCCAAACCTATCGGACCGGCTCGGGCTGACCACCTCGATCAATTACATACTGAGTCTGGGCGGTGAGATGCTGAACGTGACCGGACCCTGTTTCGCACCCGACAGTGTCATCACCTGTCGGTTTGATAGCTGGAAAGTGAGGGGCAAGTTCTTCACCGAGAATATCGCCGCCTGTATCACACCTCCCGTCATGTATGAGGGTTTGTGTCCACCCATATCTATACAGCACCGCATATATGATTGTCTAAATGTTGAAACGGTTTTGTTTGAAACAATAATCGCTGCAAATAATGATTGTATGCGATATACTTGTATGAGTTGCGCAAACTTTGGGCGTTTAGTCAGTCATATATCAAAGTGTTTAATGAATTGTTATTTTTATGTGAAATTAATTTTTAGTTTAATGAAAGGTTACGTGGATTTGACGGTTACGGTGGACGATAAGACATTCTTCTACACCCGGATGTATATACGTATGCATTGATTAAAACAATTATCACATTTTTTTGGGATCAAATATAATACATAAAAATTGTCAACACTTTTGGTGGACACAGAATCGCCGGAAAGTCGCCGCGAGTTTGACGTATGGGTGGATCGGGTGGAGCTCTTGGAGATGATGCCCGACCTGTTGGACAAAGAAGAGAATCCGATGATAATCGAGTGGAATTGGGATACATTGCACTGGGATTCAAGCAAACAAGTGACCTTGTCCATTTGGGGCTACCAGGAGATGACCGACTCCCTGTACCCCACTCTCAAATGGGTGGCCGATATTGTACGCGGTGTTCCCAACTCAGGTCAGTACTCCCTGAATGTCAAGGATTTACCAGATCTAAGGCTCGACCGATACGACTATCACTTCGGCTTCATTGGCGTCAACATTACTGATGAAGCGTTTACTATCACTCAGTGGAGTAAACCTATGCCTCTGGGTAAGTCACCATGGTGATCGTATTTTTAATCGTGATACAGTTTAACCACATTTACCATAATGACCAGGCTGGTTTTTCCGAAAACACTGGCGCCGCGAATACGGGTCGAAGTGGAACGAGAGGTTCTGTCGGGATTGGTTCGAACGGGAGTCCCAGGAGGACAGGTTCGCCATCACACTATTCCGGTGCCCGTGCACTGTCACCCAATCCGATCTGGACCGTGGTCGTTTCTCGCCAGACCAACAGTGCAACGTTATTGACAAAAAGTGCGATGCCCTCCATCACGGCGCCCAACACTGTGTCCGCACGTCCCGACCCTCGTCAGTATTGTGATCAAGTTTTTATTTAAGCATGGTTTATTTATTTAACACCATGATTGTTTGTGTGGAATAGGTTGGGCGGTTCGGGTCAACAGTGCTGTTACGACGATTACGGCGAACTCATACAGAGCGCCGACACCATGTACGGGGGCCGACCCTCCAGGGCGTTCGTGTATGGTAAACATCCGTTCAAAATGCGCATGATGGTACGGCACAATAAATCATATGAAATTATATACGCTATTTAACAATCTCAATAATTGGTCCCTGTTTCACCCTGATCACTGTCCCACTAGACGCCGACCCTGTCGTTCTGGCAGTTCGATATAATGCCGTTCTTCTATTGCTGCAAATGGGCGCCCAAAGAGGACAACAGCCACACGTGTCAGATGTTTAACTACTGGCGCACATCCCAGGACTGCTCCTCATACCAGCCCCCGGCCATCGGTCTGACCATTAATATTCAAAATACAATACTTGTAGATAAATAATCTTGGTCTAATTTGATATAATTTATTGAATACAGCGTCCGTTTTTGGCGACCCCCACGTCATAACGTTTGATCAGACAAACTACACGTTCAACGGTAAGGGCGAGTACGTGTTGGTGCACACCGACAACCCGGTGCACAAACTGGACATTCACGCCCGCTTCGAGCAAATACCCAACACTAACGGCACGTATCTGACAGCAGTGGCCGTGAGGGACAACGTGTCCGCTATCGTCGAGTTCAGGTACACACCTTAACATACAGTATAATTATGGTAATAACCAAGTTACCATCATATTTGTTTACCATGGTACATGTAGATTACGACCGCCGGCCGCGCGTTGGTTTCACCAGATTTTCCTCATCGCCGACAAGGAGTACCTGTTTTATTGGGCCGACAATATGCGGTCGATTCACGCCCGAGGGGTGACTGTGTACGAGCCCGCGGGCATACGCAACATGTCTCACATGATCGCCATGTTTGACTCGGGCGCCGGCGTCGAAGTGATGGTCAGCCCTGTCGGCTCACTCACAGTGAACGTGTATTTGCCCAACTCTTTCATGAATAACACACGCGGTCTGTTAGGTATGGGCTTTCAATTACTCCCCCATTGATTACGATTGAAACCAAACATTGCTTTTGCGTCCATAAGGCAAGTGGTCCAGAGATCCGGACGACGACTTTGAGCTGCCGGACGGCACGCGCGGCCCCCGACCCCAGGGTCTGACCGCCCGTCAGGTGCACACAGACTTCGCCCAGAAGTACCGGCTCTTCGAGACCCGTCAACAGCACTTACCGCAGAGTCTCTTCTTCCACGACGTGGTCTCGCATTCAAAGTACGACGACTTCCGGTTTGAGCCCAAGTTTGAGTTTACTCGGGAGGACACCGATCAGTACGCGGACGTCGACCACGTGTGCAGCGACTCCAAGGCCTGCGCCTACGACTATATGGTCACCGGAGACAAGGCTTTCGGCGAACAGACCAAGAAGTCGGAGGCTATGGCGCAGAACATGCATCAGGAGGTCAGCCAAAAGGTACGGATCAGTTACTGAAGACCACGTTAATCGGTGTTTACAGTGTTTTATTGACATTAACTATACTCTTAAACCCCGATGGATCAGGTGGTGCGGTGCCCAGCGTTGGCCAAACCGATAAATGGCCGCAAGACGGAGAACCGTTACTGGCCGGGCACTATCGTACGGTTCGCCTGCGACGAGGGCTACCGACTGGTCGGCTACGAAGTCCGTCGCTGTCGCGAAGACGGCCTGTGGTCGTGGGGAGTGGACCCGCAGTGTATTAAAGTGGTCACGTATTCGCTGATACTGTCCGGTGTGTTCGTGGGCTGTATTGTGCCCGCACTGGTCATGTGCGCCCTCTTTGCCTTTTGCTGGTATCGGGGGAAAGGCTATCGGCGCCGCTCCGGTCAGTACGAGCCCCATAGGCCGGCACCCGCTCTGCCGCCCAAGACATACAAGTTTGTTGAGGAGGAGAGGCGACCGGTGCTGACTGGGAGTGGTCTGAAAGTGGCCCCAAAAGCGGCGTTGGATCAGTCGCTCAAGTCGTTGGTGTCGACCGATAAGAGCTATGATGTGGACAATGACTTCAGCGATGGCGACAACGAAGACGACGACACCACCATTGGTGAGGACGAAGAGGCGGGTGTGAGGGCCGGCACAGGTGTGGACGGGTTCGGTGTGATTAAGCAACTGCACGCTCGGCCCTATTCGGCCAGTTTTGGTCAGACAAAGGCCGAGATTAACGGCGATAATCACTTGACTTCTTACAGATCCGATACTTTGGTTTAATAATCAGTTTTTTCGTATTTTTATTATTTAATCTTTCATTTGTTTTATTAATTATTTTGTAATAAATGAGTTATAATTGTATTAAAAGTAAACATTAAAACATAAAATTCACAATTAAATCAATTTAAATACTAGAATCAAACACAAAAAAAATTAAGTGTTAATCAATGAAAAGTAAAAAAAGTTTTAAAAATCAAATCAAGTCTTAAAATACAATTAAATTCAATGAATTGTCGGCGAAACAACTCTTGAGATTAGAGACGGTTTGCAATCAATTCACTGATTGTGTCGGAACTGCTCTCCAGAAGAATACTATTGGTCTCAGC